TGAAACTAAGTCTCTCTAAAACTGAACTCCTTGTCTTTCCTCCTCCTAATACTGATCCTCCTCTTTCACTCTCCCTTCAAGTTAGTGGTATCCACATAAGTCCATCCTTGCAAGCACGCTGTCTTGGCATCATACTTGACTCTGGCCTCACCTTTGAGCCTCACATCCAGTTTGTTGCCAAATCCTGTAGATTCCAACTTAAAAACATAGCCCGCATCCGCCCCTTTCTTACGCAAGATGCTACCAAGGAGCTTGTCCATGCTCTATTAATTTTCCGCATGGATTATTGTAACCCTCTCCTGATTGGTCTCCCCAAAAGCCGTATTGCCCTGCTACAGTCTATAATAATTGCCTGACTGATTTTCCTCTCTAGTCGGTACTCTCACACCTTACCCCTCTGCCAGTCTTTACATTGCCTCCCTGTATCCTATAGGAGTCAATTCAAAGTGCTAACCCATACATTTAAAGCACTGAACAATTCTTGCCCCTCTTATATCTCTTCACAGATCCATATGTATGCCTCTCCTCGTTCCCTCCTCTCTGCCCGTGACCACCTCCTGACCGCTACTCGCACCCGTACGGTCAACTTTCCTATGGAATAGCCTGCCTACCCACATGAGACCCTCCCCTAGTCTTCAATGCTTTAAGAATTGCCTTAAAATCCACCCCTTCAGAAAGCTTACGGCCTCCCAGAGTAACCTCTACCTTACATACCTGTCTCCCCTATAGGGCAGTGCTTTACTCTCTCTTCCAGCTCTGCTTCACTCCCACCCTATTTGATTGATATTTCCTGTCCTAACGTGTCTTATACCCCACCTCCTATAGACTGTAAGCTCGTTTGAGCAGGGTCCTCTTCAAGCTATTGTTCCTGTAAGTTTTCTTGTAATTGTCCTATTTATAGTTACATCCTCCTCTCATAATATTGTAAAGCGCTACGGAATCTGTTGGCACAAAATAAATGGCAATAATAATAATAATAATAGTTTGAAATTCACCATGAATAAATAGACAAAATAATAAAAAACTATTTTTTTTTCCAGTTTGGCACAGTTAAGACATATATTCAATTCAGAAAATGGGTTTTGTGCCAAAGGAAAGGAATGAAATAGGAAAACAGATAAATTATATAATGAGAAAAAAAAGATGAGCAGCAAGTTGTTTTACTAAAGTAGGAACAACTAGCGGAGCATACAAATGTGTCAGGTCACAGTTGGACATTCATTACATTTCTAGACTTCAACCAAAAAAATAAAACCACATTTTGAGATGGCAGATCATCTATCTATCTTTATTAAAGGGACATTATAGTCATGAGAACAACTTTAACTTAATAAAGCAGTTTTGGTGTATAGATCATGCCCCGCAGTCTCACTGCTCAATTATCTGCCAAGTAGGAGCTAAATCACTTTGTTTATGCAGCCCTAGTCCCAGCTCCCTCCATGTGACTTACACAGCTTCCTAAATACTTCCTGTAAAGAGTCATCTAATGTTTACACTTCCTTTATTGCAAATTATGTTTAATGTCTAATTTCTTATCTCTTGCTCTGTTAATAACTTGCTAGACCCTGCAGGCTCTCCTGTGTATGATTATAATTTCATTTATAGAGCGGGAGATAAAAACTTTTATAGTAAGTTACATCTGATTGAAAATGAAACCATTTTGTTTTCATGCAGGCTGTCAGTCACAGGCAGGGGAGGTGTGGCTGCATAAACATAAACACAAGTGATTTAACTCCTAAATGGCAGAAAATTGAGCAGTGAAACTTCAGAGGCATGACCTATAAACCAAAACTGCTTCATTAAGCTAAAGTTATTTTAGTGGCTATAGTGTCCCTTTAAATATAGAATTTATAAATATAGATTTATTTTCTTGCTCCTCCCTTTTTCTTTACTTTATCTGAAACTAAAATCAACATTTAGTGACCCTCCCCTAGCCATCAATCATCTATTTTCCCATCAATAAACTAGTTATTTGGCACCAATATTTATACCCTGAATTTTGAATCAATGTTCTTCCATTGTTTGTTTGCTTCACTATTAGTCTATAGACCAGATTGACCCCAATTCAGACAAATTGCATTTCATAACAAAACAAATCCCCATGTTACTGTATGTACTGTTTATTGATGACTGTGTGCCAAAAATGGCAGACAACCGTTGGGCTTTTGTCCACTGCAGGGGGTGTCTACAATTTTATGCAATCAAGTACTTAAAAGGAAACTATAAGCACCCAGACCCCTTCATCTCAATGAAGTGATCTGGTTGCCATGTCCCCCTTGTTTTAACCCTGCAGTTGAAAACATTGCAGTTCTGGAAAATGGCAATGTTTCCATTGCAGGAGTTGGCCACTACACTGATGCACCTGTCACTGAAAAAAAGCTGTATGCCATGCTGCAGGAATTCAGAGTTACTCTCCAATCTAATCTTAAGCGAGTGACCAGCGAAATAAAGAAGGAGATCTTAGACCTCGGAGAGAGGACCAACTGCCTAGCTCATAATGATGAACTCTTCATAGCGCACAACAAAGTGGCTGATTCAGTGCAAACCCTGGCTGATGAGCAACTAAAACGTAAGCTGGTGGAATTAGAGGACCGCTCACTACAGAACAATGTCTGCTTCCGAGGTATCTCAGACAATGTGGCTGCTGATGCCCTATCTGGATATATCATAGGGCTCTGCAAATCCCTGTTGCTGGACATAGCAGAGGCTGAGTGACTCATGGATAGGGCTCACCTATCTGGATATATCATAGGGCTCTGCAAATCCCTGTTGCTGGACATAGCAGAGGCTGAGTGACTCATGGATAGGGCTCACCGCTTACCCAGGCCACCAAGATTCACGCCAAGTGACGTGGTAGTGCGATTCCACCATTTTAACATGAAAGACGCACTGCTTTCCGTGGCGCGGAAGCTCCCCAACCTGCCAGAGCCATACAATGACATCTAGCTATTTGCAGACTTATCAATGCTGACAATGAACTGACAGAGAGAATTCATCACAGTGATGAAGACGCTGAGAAACCACGGCATACAATATCACTGGGGCTACCCGATTAAGATTCTTATATGGAGAAATGGAAGAAACCACACCGTCAACGAGCCAGAGGATGGCATGCGTCTCCTCAGAAACTGGGGACTTTTTCCTCCACAAACATCTGCGGAACCAGCTGCCACATCACCGAAACGCCTTCAAGGAGAATGGCATATGGCGGGATTGTCCCAATAAGGCCAAAAGAACCGTACCAGTGGGACTCTCTCACCAGAGCGATAGCTCTGTGGCTCGAGATAGCGAGAAATATCCTTTCTAAGTTTAATGTCGATGTTGGTTATTTGCATAGTTAAGACGTTGTTAGCTTAGGCATCATGGTATTGTGGGTATGCTCAAATAATGTTAGTAACTAGGAATAGGCATATACAAGCCTTCATGCCAGCAGGCTTTGCTTAACTCACCCTTCCAACTATGACCCACAGTCCAGAGAAGTGGGGTGACAGGGGCCGGGACGTGGGTTGTAGTTGGGATGCGAGACATGTGTTGTGTAATGTGTAAACCCGAACACTTCATCACCCTTTAGAGCCCGGACGGTATAAGTTTGCCAGCTATGAGCAGCACCTAAGCTGCATATAGTGGGATGTCCATTAGAACCAACAATATAAAAAAGGGAATCAATCACATACGAGCTGCGGTCAATTGCCTTTGACTAAGTGAGCCCGATTTAAATAGATGGCACCATGCTTTCGAAATCGCAACCCTGCATAGTATACGGGATTAAATTATCTACAGTGCAGGGCAGTGTATGTTTTCCAAAGAATGTTAACTGGGTCAATATACACCATGCTCCAAACACTGAGTGAACCCCCCAGGTTGAGTGCAAAAGTTGGAGTCATGTGCTGGCTGGCGCCTCAATCATGTAGAGCGCCCATTGTGCTGATGGCGCTATGTATATACTTTGGTTTTTTAGTAATGTTTAAGTTTCCTTTTCTCCCTGAGTTTTCATGTTATGGTTTATGCTACCCCTTAGTGCACTATGCAGAACCATGGCCAGAGTCACCAATTGCAGGAGACAGGTTGGAGCACATTGCGCTGCAGTTGGGGAAGAGAATTAGGTGCTGGGAAATACATAGATGCACCTCTTATACTTCAATGACCTTAGTCTCACAACCATGTCTGCCTCCTCACATGCGTTTTTCTTGGAACAGATAAGCACACACCTGGTTTGGGACAATGGATGACTCCTTAAAGATACTCTCCCTGAATGTCAAAGGCCTTAACAGCCCCCACAAGCATAGACTAACTTCGCAAGAACTTTACAAATCTAAAGCGACAATAGTATGCTTGCAGAAAACCCATTTTTGTAATCGCAACCCTCCTTAATTCGGTATCAAACATTATGTCCAAGCTTTTAATGCAATGTCCCGCACAAAATCTAAAGGGGTCTCCATATATTTGCACAGTGACTGAGTTTTTTCCCCAGACAAACAATATTCTAGTCATGATGGAAGACTGTTAATCCGAGTGGGCTCTCTGAACGGCCTCCAAATAACTGTAGTATCCCTGTACACTCCTAACAACACACAAAAGTTCTTCCTAAGCACAGCCTTCTGCAAGATAGAACAGTATAAGATCAGGCACTGTAACATTGATGATTCATCAAAAGAATTTTCTAAATCTCTTTTAATTAATGGATATTGATGTAATGAGATTTGTACATCAGTATTTGTTTCATTGTTATTGCATCCTATCATTAAACACGCAGACATTTTTCTGTTTGAAAAAAATATATAAACTTGTTATTTCTTATGTTTTCTACACAAAATATATTATAATTTCCACAAGGATTTACTCAATGCCGCATGAAGACATCAATATTTGCACATTATATAGTTGACAAATTAAGACTAACACATATGTAAATTCACTCATAGCAATGTCACTAATGAAGGAATATGTGTATATATATTATGGAATATGTGTATATACGTGAGAGGGGAGGCCCAGGGTTTCTAGTTACGCCTCTGTCTGTATGTATGTATGTGTATATATATTATATATACATATATATATATATATATATATATATATAATATATATACACATACATACAGACAGAGGCGTAACTAGAAACCCTGGGCCTCCCCTCTCACGTGTATCATCCCCCCGTGTCTCATTACCTCCCCTTAACTCCTTCATTCCTGCCCCAGACTCCCTTGTGTCTCATTCCCTTAACCACAAAGTTGAGCCCCTTCATGTGTCTCATTCCCTTGGCCCCACAGCCCCTCCATGTATCCCTTTCCCTCTCCTCCCTCAGCCCCTCAATGTGTCCCATTCCCTCTTCCCCTCAACCCCTGCATGTGTCCCATATCCTCCTCCCTCCATGTCCCTCTATGTGTCCCATGCCCTCCCCCCAGCCACTCCACCTTTCCTATTCCCTCTACCCCCTAACCCCTCCATGTGTCCCATTCCTCCGCTTGGCTGATATGGTGAAGGGTGCAAAGAAAGTTCAATTGCACCAGTTGCAGGTGCTGTTGGGCCACCTCAATTTTGCGTGCTAGTTTCTCTCTCTGGGGTGGGCGTTCTGCCGGTGTTTGCCCTTGCGATGGTGGGAGTGTGACAGCCGTTTCACTTTATCCGGATTACCAGACAACTTTGGGATGATCTTCGGGTGTGGAGTGCCTTTCTTGGTATGTGTAATGGGCAGTCGTTGGTTGCATTCCTCTGTGTCGAATACAGAACTCGAGTTGTTCACTGACGCATTTGGTTCAGTGGGCTTTGGCGCATATTTTCACGGTTGATGGTGTTCACAAGCATGGCCGCGTCGGTGGCAGGATAGTGAGTTAGAAGTTAGTGTGGTAGAGGGTTCCCTTTTGCTTCTTCAGGAGAGGACATCCCTGAGCCGGTTCCAGTTCACCAGGATCCTTCAGGTATGCATTCGGGGGGTTGGATTGGATCCAGACCGATATTCATCCCATTCTTTCCCAATAGGGGCAGCTACTCAGTTAAGTCTGATGGGTCTCTCTCCAGAGGTTCTAAAGCGATTGGGTCGGTGGAAATCGGGGCGCTATCAGCTATATGTTTGTCCGCATATGTTATAATGGTGTTCTCCTCTGTCGCCACCCCCACCTTTTTTCTCTGTTCTGTGGTCTTTCCCTGTTGCTCTTTCTAGGTCCATGCTTCTTGTGGATATTGGGTCATTCATATGTGTACTGGGAATCCAGGTGCACAGAGGACAGAGCGTATGGGCGTAACTTGGGTTTTCTCCAACCGGACCAAACGCGTAGGATCGGGCCACTGTAGTGAGTTTATTAATTTGTCTAGTTATGTTATTTTATTTATTGTTTATACTTAATAAATTTTTGACACCACATAAGAGGCGTTATCCTCAATACACAGGGAGACCTGTGGACCGTAACTGTTGGAGATACCGCTTGAAATTGTGATATGCTTAAACACTACTACCATTCTGTAAGTGTTACTAATTAAAGTGCAATATACGGCTTTTAATAGTTTGCACTTATTGTTCTATATTTTTTTACTTTCTCCTACATGCCCACTATCGTGTTTGAAGATTTGTGATGTCGCGAACATAAAATTTTCAGTTCGCGAACGGCGAACGCGAACTTCTGCAAATGTTCGCAAACCGGCGAACCGCCATAGACTTCAATAGGCAGGAGAATTTTAAAACCCACAGGGACTCTTTCTGGCCACAATAGTGATGGAAAAGTTGTTTAAAGGGGACTAACACCTGGACTGTGGCATGCCGGAGGGGGATCCATGGCAAAACTCCCATGGAAAATTACATAGTTGATGCAGAGTCTGGCTTTAATCCATAAAGGGCATAAATCACCTAACATTCCTAAATTGTTTGGAATAACGTGCTTTAAAACATCATGTATGAAGTTGTATCGATCAGGTAGTGGAAGGGTTACGCCCGCTTCACAGTGACAGACCAAACTCCCCGTTTAACGCAACGCAAACAACCGCAAACAGTCCATTTGCACAACCGCAAACTCCCCAAGGTTGGATACCAAGCTAGCCATGTCCTGTTCCTTGTCCTCACTGATGTCATTGAAGGTGTCTTCCTCCACCCAGCCACGTACAACACCAAGGGTCCCCAAAAGGTGACAACAAGCCCCCTTGAATGCCTGCTGTGTTTCCACCTCCTCAAAGCCACCTTCCTCCTCTGACTCCTCTTCTTCAGACTCCTCTCTCTGCATTGCTTCTCTCTGCGTTATTATAAGGTGTGTTAAGTAGTACTATTCCTATAAGTTTAATCCCTGTTACGTCCCCTATTAGGGGACGTGTATATGGCATCAATTTTAGGAACCGGGAGATGGAAAAAGATGCTTGGTCGGTCCTCCTACTTCAAATTTGGGGCACTGCGCGTGCAATCTAATGTGCCACCAGATAGGAGTGGTCTGTTAAGTAGTACTATTCTTATCAGTTTAATCCCTGTTACGTCCCCTATCAGGGGACGTGTATATGGCATCGATTTTAGGAACCGGGAGATGGAAAAAGATGCTTGGTCGGTCCTCCTTCTTCAAATTTGGGGCACTGCGCGTGCAATCTAATGTGCCACCAGATAGGAGTGGTGTGTTAAGTAGTACTATTCTTATCAGTTTAATCCCAAAGTCACGACTACTAGTGTGGTCCAGCACGCAGAAACTATGTAAACATATACATAGGTAAGAAAAGGAAAATAAAAGGACAGAGCGTAAACCGGACCTTAGAATGGCCGGACTAATACGCTAGAGACAGAGAATGATCAAAGAGAAAGCCGAGGTCAAGGAAGCCAGAAAATACACAATACCGTTTACACAAGCCAACTCAGGGAAACCAGAATTCAGAATAACCAGGGAAAAGCCAAGATCAGGATACCAGGAAATCGATTCACAATGATAAAGCACTCTCAGGAAACCAGGAACAGGAAACCACAACAGGGCAAGGTACTGGGGTGAGCTAGGGAATATATCACGCAGCGGGCCGGCAGCCTTGACACCCTGTTACGTCCCCCTCATCAGGCCTTTTTAAGTCGAATGTATCGCCCACTGTCAGTCCCTTTGGGATCCATCCCTCATTCATCTTAATAAAGGTGAAGTAATCTAGACTTTTTTGACCTAGGCGACTTCTGTCACAGTGACAATACCTCCTGCTACACTGAAGGTCCTTTCTGACAGGAAACTTTAAGCGGGGCAGGCCAGACGTTCTATCGCAAATTGGGATAGCTCAGGCCACAGGTCAAGCCTGCACACCCAGTAGTCAAGGGGTTCATCGCTCCTCAGAGTATCGATATCTGCAGTTAAGGCGAGGTAGTCTGCTACCTGTCGGTCGAGTCATTCTCTGAGGGTGGACCCCGAAGGGCTGTGGCGATGCGTAGGACTTAAAAAGCTCCGCATGTCCTCCATCAACAACACGTCTGTAAAGCGTCCTGTCCTTGCCGGCGTGGTCGTGGGAGGAGGAGGATTACTTTCACCTCTTCCCCTGTTAGATTCCCATTGTGCTGTGACATCACCCTTATACGCTGTGTAAAGCATACTTTTTAATTGATTTTGGAACTGCTGCATCCTTTCCGACTTGCCGTAATTCGGTAACATTTCAGGCACTTTCTGCTTATAACAGGGGTCTAGTAGCGTGGACACCCAGTACAGGTCGTTCTCCTTCAGCCTTTTTATACGAGGGTCCCTCAACAGGCACGACAGCATGAAAGACCCCATTTGCACAAGGTTGGATGCCCAGCTACTCATGTCCTGTTCCTCGTCCACAGTGATCTCACTGAAGGTATGTTCTTCCCCCCAGCCACGTACAACACCATGGGTACCAGATAGGTGACAACAAGCACCCTGGGATGTCTGTTGTGGTTGGTCTTCCTCCTCCTCCTCAAAGCCACATTCCTCCTCTGATTCCTCTTCCTCACAATCCTCTTCCAGCGTTGCAGCAGGTCCAGCAAGCGATGCTGATAAGGCTGTTTCTGGTGGTGATGGTGACCACAACTCTTCCTCTTCACGCTCATCTATGGTCTGATCCAGCACTCTTCGCAGGGCACGCTCCAGGAAGAAAACAAATGGTATGATGTCGCTGATGGTGCCTTCGGTGCGACTGACTAGGTTTGTCACCTCCTCAAAAGGACGCATGAGCCTACAGGCATTGCGCATGAGCGTCCAGTAACGTGGCAAAAAAATTCCCAGCTCCGCAGAGGCTGTCCTAGCATCCCGGTCATACAAATACTCGTTAACGGCTTTTTCTTGTTGGAGCAGGCGGTCGAACATTAGGAGTGTTGAATTCCAACGTGTCGGGCTGTCGCAAATCAAGCACCTCACTGGCATGTTTTTTTGCCGCTGGATATCTGAAAAGTGCACCATGGCCGTGTAGGAACGCCTGAAATGGCCACACACCTTCCTGGCCCGCTTCAGGACGTCCTGTAAGCCTGGGTACTTATGCACAAAGCATTGTACGATCAGATTACACACATGTGCCATGCACGGCACATGTGTCAGCTTGCCCAAATGCAATGCCGCCAACAAATTTCTTCCGTTGTCACAAACCACTTTGCCGATCTCCAGTTGGTGCGGAGTCAGCCACTGATCCACCTGTGCGTTCAGGGCGGACAGGAGTGCTGGTCCGGTGTGACTCTCTGCTTTCAGGCAAGTCAACCCCAAGACGGCGTGACACTGCCGTATCCGGGATGTGGAATAGTACCTGGGAAGCTGGGGGGGTGCCATTGATGTGGAGCAAGACGCAGCAGCAGAAGAGGACTCAGCCGAGGAGGTTATGGAAGAGGATGGAGAAGGAGGAGTAGAGGAGGTGGCAGCAGGCCTGCCTGCAAGTCGTGGCGGTGTCACCAACTCCTCTGCAGAGCCACGCATACCATGCTTGGCAGCCGTCAGCAGGTTTACCCAATGCGCAGTGTAGGTGATATACCTGCCCTGACCATGCTTTGCAGACCAGGTATCAGTGGTCAGATGGATCCTTGCCCCAACACTGTGTGCCAGACATGCCATTACTTCCTTTTGCACAATCGAGTACAGGTTGGGGATTGCCTTTTGTGCAAAGAAATTTCGGCCGGGTACCGTCCACTGCAGTGTCCCAATAGCTACAAATTTTTTGAACGCCTCAGACTCCACCAG